TTTTGAAAGCTATTGATAACTCAAAATGGGCAGTGCATCCCTCCCATAGTTTCCTTTGAGCATCATTCTGTAAAAAGTTCGAGCCATTTGATTTGGTGTCTCTTCCTGCACTTGACTCGACTAATGTTGTTTTATCCCATCAAAGATTATTTCTTCAAATCTACTCTTGTTAGTAAAAAATAAAACTTAATCGATTATTCATATATCACATAAACTTTAAAATAATTTTAGAAAATTTAAAATCATCTTATCCTTATCAAAATTTTATTTGTGTAGAAACAAACTCTCTTAAACCTTTATAAAACAATTTGTTTGACTCCTCCAAATTACTCGGAAAGTTTCAATCGATGAACTCAGCCCGCAACTTCCTTTGAAATTCAACATATTATTATCTAATCAGCAAGCCACATATTTCTTATATTAATTCATGGCAAGTATTCAATAAGCCTTATAATGTCTCTTTAATTATATACTCTTCGATACATGGTTGAAGGGGCATTTAACCGCAAACCACACAACTTTTATGTATTTACATATCTAACAACCAAATTCTTTTATTTGCATGCATAACTCTCAATTCCTTAAAATCACATCAAAAATATCATTATAACTTATCTTTTAAAAAATAGAATTTTTTTTTTCATGAATATATTTATAACATCAAAATATATATAAATAAATATGAAATTTTAAATGTTTGATTTATAAATACATTAAAACAATGTGTTATATCTGTAACTCTCCCTCTCCGGAGAGGCTATAGCAAAAATTTGAGTCCTTAGTTTAGTGATTATGATTTTATATTTCAATTATAAATTCTATAGTTAAATTATATAGTGGCAAGAAACGCACGTCATTTACTGCTGCCTTGAAACATTCAATATAGGCATGAGTAAAATATTGTACATACAAAAGTAGGGGTGTAAACGAATCGAACACGAACGAACAAAGCTTGTGTTCGTGTTCGGTTCGTTAAAAATTTAGTTTGTTTGAAATAAGCTCGTGTTCGTTTCTTAACGAATGAGCCGAACACGAGCTGTTCGCGAACGACGAGCCAGTTTGACATCCCTAATATTAATATATACAAATAATATTATATATTAATTATATAACTTATATTATATAAATATACAATATCTATATTAGTATATTACTACTATAGTATATTAATATATTATTATTATTATTTTATTATATATTATAATTTATAAAATTTAATGTTTTAAAATATAATAAATTTTTTATATATAATTATTTTATATTATTTTATATTTCAAACAATAACGATTCGAACACGAACGAACGCATCACTGTTCGTGTTTGGTTCGTTTAACTAACCGAACGAAAAAAATTTGTTCGCGTTTGTCTTTTTTACTTATCGAACGAATCGAACACGAACTCATTGACGAACCAAACACGAACTGTTCGCGAACAACGAGCTTTTTTGACAGCCCTATACAAAAGTGACGAGATACCTTGATTTTTAATGACCCGATCATCGTAGATTTACAAAGAAAAAAAAATGATGTAGATTAATATTCCTAATTAAACATATAACTTATACTGAATGATTCAGCTTTGTCTCCCATGGATTATTTGGATATATTTCTAATTAAAACAAACTAATATAACTAATATTTGAAAAATGGCGAGCTTCTTGTGGCTAAATAATATAAAAAGATTTACTTATGTTGAATTTTAAATTATCATTTGTGAACACGTTTCGAGAGTTAGAGTCGGATGGAGGAAAGAAGAAATAAAGAATAACTCAAGAATTTACTGTAGAGAAAATGTGGAGAGGTCTCTTTATTTGTTCTTTTGTCTTTTATTTATAGAGACAAATTTGTATGATTATAGAAAGGGGAAACAATTATGAAATTTTTTTTTAATATAATTGATGCTCGAATTAATCGTATAGATTTTGTATCATATGTGTATTACAATTTGAATTCTAATATGACGGTAGTTGTCTGGTTGGCCTGCTTGAATTTGGTCGGTTGAAGTAACAGACTGAGTGACGACCCTGTCTTCTGAAGTAAATATCGGTCGGTTGAGGAGCCTGGTCGAATGGCGATCTCACCCACTGTAGCAAGAGCGGATCTGACGACTAGCTTGTGATCAAAGGCTCTTGAATGTGTATTAGTTGGTTGAGATTATAAACGTGGTCCGCCGATTGAATCTCCCACAATAGTATGTCAATCGATTCTAATCATTTGGTCGCTTATTGCTGACAATTTTTGTGTATACCTATCAATTCCTAAAATTTCTCTGCTACTTGAAAGCGACGACTATGAATAGGATAGGGAAATTATTACCGTTCAATGTTACTAGAATCAATAAAATAAATTTAATAGTTAACTCCCCTTGGATTCTGTGCCGAGAGTGCTCTATAAATAGTGCATGTTCTATACATTGAATCCATTGATGTTATTCCACCTTGGATAATTGAGTTGCACCATGACTGACGTTTCGAGTAGGATCGCTTTGGACCCCAAAATTCTAACGAAGGTAGGCTACATCCCAGTGGCTTCGGTAAATAAAGATAGAGTTAAGAAAAGAAGATGGTCAAAGCTTGAACCTGTGTCGGTTGATTAGGTTGACTTATATGGGGATCCAAAGGGGCAGGCATTGAGAGTCCCTCTCTAGAAGACCGTAGCCCCTAAGCCCGATACATGTGTGAGCTCTAAGGGCTAGCAAGCCTAGCTTGCCAAAGAAGCCGACGATGGTGGAAAGACGCTAGAGGAAGCGGAGATCGGAATCTTTCCTCAGTTGCTACCACAAGAAGGTGAAGGTGCCTCGATACGAAGGGAAGAGAAGCCTTTCCACATCTTTTCTTAGATGGATAGGTTTATGCGTACGTAATATATATATATATATATATATATATATATATATAAGAGTGTTTGAGCCTGTCTCATGTGGTGCGGCCT